ACAATTATGGAAAATAGGCCCCCCAAAGACCATCCTTATAATGGTTTTAGGGACACCTAATTCCATAATGGCCGTATACATGGACCCTCAAACCCTAAACCCTAAACCCCAAGACCCTAAACCCTATTTCACAGGGTTCGCTCCACTGAAGGCTCCTCCCGTGCCTGCGCCACCATGGCCTCCACCTAAGACAAGAGTCGGCTTGGGTGTTTCCACGGCTGTGATATGGTTGTATATACATACATACATATATATATATATAACATATATATATATATACATACATATATAAGGGGTTTGTAGGCTGTTAATGGGGTTTGATGGTTTTTGCTGGGTTCCATAGGGTTTAACTTATATGGTTGTTGACAGGTGTTCCAACGGTTTTGATAGGGTGTCATAGCCGGTTTATTGGGAGCTTTAGCAGGTGTTTAAATACGTTTTTTCTTGAAGGGTTTCACAGTCTGTTGTTGTAGCTGCGCTGAAATCAAGTTTGTTTGTCGTGCTACAGGGTACTCATAGGGTTAGGGATCTTAAGCTCTTATGGTGTTTTAGTTTGGGGGCCTTCTTCTATCATCAAAATAGCACTTTGGCTATATTATATTGGTAGATTTGTATCCTCACTCTGAAGTGATATATATATATATATATGCATATATATATATATGTATAATCATATATTGACGGACTGCTCCATGCCCACAGTTACTTCGAGAGGTTCATGGGTTGTGATAGGTGTGGCCACCGGTTATGGTGAGCAGCATTAGTGTGCGCATTGTCGCTGCTAATGTCTTCACCTGCTGCTATCATCGGCACCAGCTCTTTACGCATAAGGCCTTCAAGCCATAAACAAGGAAACCTGCAATCCGACACCCTACAATCAACCATGAGCCCAAGCCGTAACACCTTTATGAATCCCACAAACCCCTACACACTAAACAGTCCCACCCGCGTAAACCGCTTGCAAAGCCCTGCAATCAAGCTCTCATACAACTCTACAAAATCCCATACTGCAAACAAAACCGTAAACACCCTACAAAATCCTGTACCACGAAATTCGTCACACCTCGGAGGTCTTGGTCTGTTTTTGCTGGACCTGCAAGGAACCGCAGCAGTTTCAAAACGGTTTAGGGCTTAGGAACTAAACATTCAAAGTGTAGGACTTAGGCTCAGGGCTCAGAGTTTACGATTTAAGGTTTAGGGTCTAGGAGGGTTTAAGGTTTAGGGCCAGTTTAGGGCTTAAGGCTTTGGGCTTCAAAAGGGTTCTGAAAGCTGTTGCGAGGGTTCTACAAGGATTGTTATGATTGCTTTCTGTTGGTCCTGTTAGGTTCCGAAGCCCTAAACCCTAATCCTAAACCCTAAACCCTAAATCCCTGAACCCTAAACCCTAAACCTTTACGATGAAGATACCAGGCATCCCTCAACCCGAAACCTGTATACTACGTGACCCCCTAAACTCAAACTCTATGGGTTCACGGTTCAGGGCTTAGGATTGAGGGTTTCGGGTTTGGGGTTTAAGGGTGTACCCTGGCCCCATACCCCAAACACATAAACATGCAGCGAAATAAAACAAAACCCCACACCACCCTGTCTTCAAGCGTTCCTTAAACCCTCCCCTACGCCTTTAACCTCCTCGTGCAAAACCCTTTGTTGTTTTACAGGCCTTAATTAGCTGTTAGAGTAGGCTGTGCGGGGCAAGGTGAAGCACAGTGGGGTATAAGCGTATGGGGATACTGAACCATTGTAATTAACCCCCACGCGATAATACTATTTCTAATTACCCAGGCTGGAGAGATACTGCTACCACTGACTCAAGCTCTACTAATTCCAAACACCCTCAGTTTCCGGACAGTCCGGCCCGAGACCAGTACAGTATAGAATCCTTATGGCAGCCCACTCAACAACGCTGTTAGGCAACCAGGAAAGGAACCCCTTCAATAATTTAGAACCCCTTTAATAATTTAAGGGAACCCGACAAGGAACCCTATCCTAAACCCTAAAACCTAAATCC